GTCTACCACTCCCACAGCACCACAAACCCCCAGAACACAGTTTTGGAGAAGCTGAAGGAATAGTACACCAACTAAGACGGAATAACGAGAAAGTGCGAGGAGTGGAACAAAAGAATCGTGGAGGCATCACCAGACATGATAGCACTCACGGAAACTAAGCTCGCGGGACTGATAATAGACTCAGTCTTTCCAGCTGGATATCAGATCCTGAGAAAAAATAAAGGGAGTAGATGGGGTGGAGGAGCTGCAATGCTCATCAAAAACCAGTGGAGCTTTGAAGAGCTGAAAGGGACAAAGGGTATGAAAGAAACTAAATAGTAGGAACACTTCAGGCTGGGTTTCTCAAGGTGGTGATTGCAGTGATGTGCAACCCACCACAGAATAGCAGGAGGTCAAGACAATAATATGATGAGAGCAACAGAGCAATGGTGGACACACTAGATGAGGTGGCCAGAAGGACCCACGTGGGCAGGATAAAGTTACTGGTTATGGGTGACTTCGATCATGAGATTGACTGGGAGAACCTGGAGCCACATGGGGGGCCTGAAACGTGGAGGGCTAAGGTAGTGGAGGTGGTACTGGAAAACCTCATGTACGAACATGTAAGAGACACTATCAGAGAGAAAGGAGAGGACGAACCAGCAAGACTGGACCTAGTGTTCACCTTGAGTAGTGCAGATATCGAGGACATCACATATGAAAGGCTCCTCGGAGCTAATGATTACATGGTTCTGAGCTTCGAATACCTAGTAGAGTTACAAGTGGAGAAGGAATCAGGATGAGTAGGATGGGAGAAGCCAAACTACAAAAGAGGGAACTACACAGGCATGAGGAATTTCCTGCATGAGGGGTCAGTGGGAAAGAGAACCTGGAAAAACAGTAAATGAAATGATGGAATACGTAACAACAAAATGCAAGGAGGCAGAGGAAAGGTTCGTACCCAAGGGCAACAGAAACAATGAGGAGACCAGAATGAGAACTTGGTTCACCCAAAGGTGTAGAGAGACCAAAACTAAGTGTGAAAGAGAATGGAAAAAGTATAGAAGACAAAGAACCCTGGAAAACAAGGTTAGTCGAAGAGCCAGAAACGAATATGCATGGATAAGGAGAGAGGCCAGCGGCAATACAAAAATGACATAGCATTAAAAGCCAAATCTCACCCAGAACTGTTGTACAGTCACATCAGTAAGAAAACAACAGTCAAGGACCAAGTAATCAGGCTGAGGAAGGAAGGAAGATCACTAGAAACGATGCAGAGGTTAAGGGAAATCAACCTGAAGACACTGGAGAACAGGAGAGACAGTGGAGACATGATAATGACATGTAAAATATTGAGAGAAATTGACAAGGTGGACAGAGACAGGATGTTCCAGAGATGGGACACAGCAACAAGGGGTCACAGTTGGAAATTGAAGACTCAGATGAATCACAGGGATGTTAGGAAGTATTTCTTCAGTCACAAAGTTGTCAGGAAGTGGAATAGTCTGGGCAGTGATGTAGTGGAGGCAGGATCTATACATAGCTTTAAGAAGAGGTATAATAAAGCTCATGGAGGAGGAAGAGTGACCTAGTAGCGACCAGTGAAGAGGCGGGGCCAGGAGCTGCGACTCGACCCCTGCAACTACAACAATTAGGTGAGTACACACACACACACACACACACACACTATACAACAAAGTGCTCTGGGTCATTCCCGTCGTCACTAACTACCGCCACTTGTTCGTTGTAGCCTAAGTGCAAACTACCACTGACTAAATCACTTGTTTTGGGAAAGTGGAAACAAGGCCACTGTATGATTTAACGACCCCTCGGGTCGTTGAGGGGTGAGAGGAAGAGGGGAAGGGTGAGAGGGGAGGAGTAGTTGATGTGATTGATTATCTCTAGTGTTTGTTACGAAGGGGTATGTGGGGGGTATGGAGGGTATGGGGGTATAGGAGAGGTAACTCTCTCTCTCTCTCTCTCTCTCTCTCTCTCTCTCTCTCTCTCTCTCTCTCTCTCTCTCTCTCTCTCTCTCTCTCGCTACCTGGGATGTGCCTGGGTCCACCTGAATCTCTACTCAACAGGGTATTCCGGGGGTCAACGCCCCTGCGGCCCGGTCCACGACCATGCCTAGCGGTAGATCAGGGCCTGATCAACCAGGCTGTTACTGCTGGTCGCGCGTAGTCCAACATACGAACCACAGCCCGGTTGATCCGACACCGACTTTAAGCATCTGTCCAGCTCCTTGAAGGCAGCCAGGAGTCTATTGGTAAGTCCCCTTATGCCTGGTAGAAGGCTGTTGAACAGTCTTGGGCCCCGGACACTTACTGTGTTCCCCCATGGTATACCTATAATATATATATATATATATATATATATATATATATATATATATATATATATATATATATATATTTATTTATTTCGGATAACTGGTTTCTTGAGTTTACCAGATTAGTTTATTTATCCGGCGGCTGCACACTCCCTTAAGCGGACCAACTCCTGCAAGAGTCCGGATAACGGGAACATTCATCGCATTTCAGCGGATTTACTGAGAAAGAGCGTCCTTGACGGGCGTTCGCAGGGAATCCGGATCGGCTGATTGACTCAGAGTCCATTTCCGATGGCTTGTGATGCACCTCTCGGGGGTTCAGATGTGAACGCTGCTTCGGGGGGGTTCACTTGTGAACGCCGCCTCGTATTCGAACGCGACGAACCCTACAAATGCGTTCGCGGACGCGAAGTGGATTGCTGACTTCCACTGTGAGCTTGTATGCAAATTAGGAGTAACAGGTGCGTGAGTATACAGGTGCAGAGGTGGGTTGCTAATGCTGATTGTTAGGTGAGTGTACTCAAGTGTGAGAGGGAGGAAGAGGGAGAGTGTGAGATAAGTAGAGGGGAAACGAGAGGTAGCAGTGAGGGGAGAATGAATCAAGTGAGGGGTGAGAAGTGTCAACAAACGAGTGTAAACGAATTTTAGCTATTGTTTACCACGTAACCTGCTGGTTATCCAAATTCCTTACGCACTTTTACACAAATACTATTGCCTTACATAGAAACACATACAGAACAACCACTGTGAAAAAAAATAGTGAACTTCCAAGCGATTTCGTGATTTCTTACATTATCGAGGAACTGTGAACATAATAGAACAGCTGAAGGCTTATATGGCTGAGATATCACCTCACAGTCAACATCCAACACCTCACCCGACCCTTTATGATGATGCTGGTGAGATGGTCGGTGACCATCACACCAGCATCTCAACATCCGACACCTTACCCGTGAGACGTTATCTCAGCCTTATAAACCTTCAGCTGTTGTATTATTTTCACAGTTCCTTGATAATGTGAGAAATCAAGAAAGTTCTTGGAAGTTCACTATTTTTTTCACAGTGGGCATTTTGCATATTGTGATAACAATTGGCTTCCTCAGTCCGGTACAGAGGGAGAAGGAGTTTGAGGTAATCAGTCTCTCATCTTTGAGTTGATGTGTTTAGGTTATTGACGAATTTTAACCTCGGAGGGTTAGCCACCCAGAATAACCCAAGAAAATCAATGCATCATCAAGGACTGTCTGTCTTATTTCCCCTTGTGATTCTTCAATCTTGTCCCCCAGGATGCCTCCCACACCAGTCCACTGACATCCAGGTACCTACTTACTAGGTGAATGGGGACAACAGGTGTAAGAAAACACGCTAAGCGTTTCCACCCTTGCCGGGGACTGAACCGTGGACACTCAGTGTGTGAAGCGACAGCACTGCCTACCAGGCCACGGGACACCATCACCAGGGGTTCTGATACCGTATTACTGGTCTTGGCAACTTGTTCCTGAGGTTCATCTTAAACCAGAACCACTTTACGGAGCCTTTCTGAGAAGCCAGAAGCTTACGTAAAATATGGTGCGCTGTGGCGAATGTCTTTTGTCTGTCTCAGGTCGCCATGTTTGTTAGATAACTTGTTGATAAGTAAGTTTATTCAGGTACAGGTGCACATAAATAGAGTTACATAAATTATCATACATAGCAGCATGTGTAGACTGCCTAGGATAATCCAGAAGAATAATTGCTTGTCATGGAACCTGTTTTGTAAATGAGTTATTTAGGTCCGATAACACACACTGTAGATGATAACATTTGTCTTAATAACACAAGTGTTAATTATCTTGAGTATAATGTTAAAAACTGGACAAGTGACTAGTTTCCATCTGAGACCTGCTTTCTTCTTCTTCTTCTTCTTCTTCTTCTTCTTCTTCTTCTTCTTCTTCTTCTTCTTCTTCTTCTTCTTCTTCTTCTTCTTCTTCTTCTTCTTCTTCTTCCTCTTCCTCCTTCTTCTCTTCCTCCTCCTCCTCTTCCTTCTCCTCCTCCTCCTCCTCGTCCTCCTCTTCCTCCTCCTCCTCCTCTTCCTCCTCCTCTTCGTCCTCTTCCTCCTCCTCCTCCTCTTTCTCTTCCTCCTCCCCCTATTCTTCTTCATCCTCCTCAGCCGCCTCCTCTTCTTCTTCTTCCACTTCCTCCTCCTCCTCTTCCTCCTCCTCCTCTACCTCCTCCTCACCAACAACTTGCAGAAATACGATACTCCATAAATACTTCAGTCTCTCATAAAACAACAAGTTTTTTATGATTTACACAACTTTGCCCATTTTCTATTTTTAACGACTAACTATAATATTATTACAAAATTCTCCTTATTGATTCACTGATATTTACCCTGTGTTTAAATCATCAATATTATATAATTTATCTGAATTTACATTTATGTATTGTAAATATATATAGAAAGAATTTATATACAAATGCTCCTGGGATGTATTATGATCCTTGGTAACTGTGTGAGTGTGTGCGCTTGCCTATATATGATTGCAGGAGTCGATTTACAGCTCCTGGCCCAGTGTGTGTGTGTGTATGTGTGTGTGTGTTTGCTTATATGTGGTTGCAGGAGTCAATTCACAGCTCCTGGCCCCGTGTGTGTATCTGTGTGTGTGTGTGTGTGTTTGTGGAGCGTAGATCGTCCTGGGAGACTTACCTGGAGAGGGTGGAGAGTTTGTCGTCCACTTTATAGTTAATACCGCCATTGGTCCGGTGACGCGTCGGTGATCCTCCTGGGAAGATAATAATAATAATAATAATAATAATAATAATAATAATAATAATAATAATAATAATAATAATAATAAATAATAATAATAATATAATAAAGTCATTTCAGTTATAGAAGCATTTTTTTTTTTTTTTTTTTTTTTGACAGGCAGACTTCGTGGCTCAAGTGGTAGCAGCCTCGTCTGAAACCCGAAGTACCAGTGTTCGATCCCCGGCACGGGTGAAGACCTCTGGGCGTATATTCCTTCACACCTGCTGCCCCTGTTTACCTCAAGAGTAAGTTGGTACCTGAGTCGTGGTTAGTGACCCACGGGCACGTTTCGCCCCTGCAACCTTGATGGGACGTTTTTCAGGTCAAGTATACACTGAGAAACGTATGTCTCTCAGTGTATATACACCTCTCGGTGTATATACACTGGGAGACACACTTCTCAGTGTATGTACACTGAGAGACATGCGTCTCTCAGTGTATATACACCTCTCGGTGTATATACACTGGGAGACACTTCTCAGTGTATGTACACTGAGAGACATACGTCTCTCAGTGTATATACACTGAGAGGTGTATATCTCTCAATGTATATACCTCTCAGTTTATATACACATTAACTGCACATGTGTCCTCTGCCTTACACATGTTGTCCCTGTGCACCTAGCAGAAAGTAGGTACCTGGGACCTAGTCGACTGTTGTGGGTGGCATCCCAGAGCGCGGCAGTGTACCTGGGATGGTGAGAGGCTTTCAAATGAACCGAGACAAGATTTCTTATACAGGATTTCGTGTTCCGTAGCTCATTTGGTAGCGCACTTAGTTATTACACTGAGGTCCCGGGTTCGATCCTCGGAACGGGTGAAAACTTTAGGATGTGTTTCCTTAAGACACCTGTTGTCCGTGTTCACTTAGCAGTGACATAGGTACCTGGGTGTTAGTCGACTGGTGTGGGCCGCATCCTGGGGATAAAATTTCCCTAAGTTGCCAGGAAATACTCTGCATAACAACGTGCTTTCTATATAGTAGTAAGTCATTGATATCAGCTATGGTCTGTATAAGTTGTACCATATACTTGTGAAAATAGAGATTACATTTATTATCACACTCTTGGGCGGAAAACATTATATACTGAGTCAAAAAAGGAGAATTAGTGTGCATTACCTAGCAGAGTTTACTGCCAGAGGGGAATCATAGGCCTGTCCCGTGTGAAAAAAATAATAATAATTGAACGTTGTGTCAGAGGAAAGAAAGTCTCCCTGAAAGCATTGAGTATACATAGTGTATAGTGTATACTACAGTGGCTCCCTAGTATATTGATGATAAAGGCTAAAGTGTCATTTGAAAACAGGTGAATTTGTAAATGAAGTGATAAGCCTATAGAGGCAGGTGCCAGAAGTCGCCAGAAACTTACCACAGGTCAGCTGTTTTTATAATTTTCCCTGGCCTGCTAGTGTACTCGCATATAATCTAGTGATACCAGTGAATAGCAGAATACAGTGTTGTAGTAGCAACAAACCCAGTTTTTATAATGGTACTTAGTGGAGTGGAGTGACTTTCATAGTTTCATTTTCTTGAAATACGAGCGTTACTGTGAATTTCATATAACCTGTAGTTACCAGCGGTCGCAATTATACACAACGAGAAGCAATTATTACTACAGAAAAAAGCGTCCTTCCTCCAAAATTTGCCCAGTAAACTATAGTGATAATATAGCATTTATTGTGGTGGAGACGGAAAAAAAAAATAGAAAAGCCAGATACAGCGATTGATAAACAAAGAGGTCGACTGTACGTCATTGTAGGAGCTCCCAGATATCACCGGCTCTTCAACACGCAGTTTTTACTTTTGTATCAGTCAAATCACATATTACTCGGGTAGTTAATTTCCAGTAGATCCTTCATGTGTTAGCTCAAATCACCGACCAGTATGTTTTAATAAGTGACCCACTGATCAGAGCAGATTCGGATTTGGTCCGAACCCTTGACTGGTCCGAACCCTTGACTGGTCCAAACCCCGGGACTGGTTTCAAACAGTTTCGTTGGAAAATAAAGCAGACTGTAAACGGATGGGTTTGTAGGCGCCCTTATAATCACAACATTAAAATCAGGAACGTGACGGTAAGCTGTCCAATATACAAAAAGAGTTAGAAACGAAATACAAATAGCTAGAGCTTCATTTAAGGTTATTAATATAATATTCAAGGGTTGCTAGTAGACTTGCATTTAAATCAACCATTCAATCATTATGAAGCTGTGTGTAGTCTGTGGTCAGTCAAACAAACGGGTTTCCCACATGGATAAATTGTCATTTTTGTGGAAATTGGTGTCACGCTCCTTGTGCAGTTTACCCCAGAACTAGCTAAAGCAGTATTAAAACAGAGAAGTGTTTTTGGGTATGCCCAAATGAGGAAAATCTGTGGACTAAAATCACAAGGGTATTAAAAGGGGGATAACATCAAAGCTGCTTTCATAGAAACCTGGAAGCTTTCTACAACAGATGGGAACATAAAAAAGTCCGGGCTGAATGGTACTGCCCTTGATACTGGCCCTGTAGTCAGAAATGTAAGGCTGGAGGTGATGTCCCGGTAGTCAGTAAATGTGGGGCTGATAGTGCTGTCCTGGGAGACAGTAATGGTGAAACTGGAGGTGCTGTCCTGGGAGACAGAAATGGTGAAGCTGGAGATACTGTCCTGGTAGACAGTAAGGTGAAGCTGGAGGTGCTGTCCTGGGGGACAGTAATATGGTGAAGCTGGAGGTGCTGTCCTGGGAGACAGTAATGGTGAAGCTGGAGATACTGTCCTGGGAGACAGTAATGGTGAAGCTGGAGGTGCTGTCCTGGGAGACAGAAATGGTGAAGCTGGAGAATACTGTCCTGGGAGACGTATGGTGAAGCTGGAGATTTTGTCCAGGTAGTCGGGAATTATACGCAGGAAGGAATACAATTAAATGACTCATAGAGGACAGGAGCCATAGTAGGGAAACAAGTGTAGTCAAAGATAAGATAAAACCAATATTGCAAACCAGAAATACCGCGGAAATAGCAAACAAAAGGACTCCAATAGCAATAGTGAGGATAAATTACCAAAAACAAAATGGTGGGAGCTCCATTGTTGGGTGCTAAGGAGGATAGGAATAAGACAGGGAAACATGCACCAACAGGGAATTTCAGTCACAGAAACCAAGGCAAACGGAAACCAAGCCTGTGCACATACTATGCACTTGGTTCTGCTGGCATGGGAAATCTGGAAAAACAAAATGGGACATGCAACTATGACCACCCTAGAAAATGTCATGCCCATATGACAACAGGAAAATGCAAACTCCCTCCTGTAAGCTTTTTCACCCTGAAAAGTGTACCTCTTCAGTACAGGAAAGACTGTGCTATAAACTTAAATTGCCAGGGGATACCATCTAAAGGGGACAAAAAGATACAAAACATCCAGGCCATGGGAAAACCTGGGTAGCCACAGCCACTCAAGAGGGAGAGGTTTTTTAGTGCCAGGAAGGAAAAAAACTGGCAGGAAATGGCAGAAATCGTACACCAAATCCAGTCATTCCTGGAGTGGAACCACGTCGATGGCCTCCACTCCAAACCACAGATACAGATACTAAAGCCGGAAAAAAAATCCCCCCCCAGTACCCAAAAATACCACCAGTCCGATAACATTCTTCTTTGCAAATATACAGGGTTAAGCCAGCAATAAACAACAAATACCTTTCATCCGTGGACTGCTTGCAGAGGCAAAGGCAATGTTCGCGGCCCTTTTACTGAGACCCACATAAAGGATCACTTGGACAACGAAATATGGATCCCCGGTTACAACATATACAGATGTGACAGAGTGAACAGGCAAAAGGGGGGGGGTTGGCCCGTACATTGCAGAGTCCTTGTTTGCACAGAACTGTTAATGCCCCAAATGACGTAGTGGAAGTTTTAGCAGTAAAGGTCGAGAACCAAAAACTAGTATTGTGGTAGTCTACAAAACCTCGGATGCAACATCCAGCAATTCCAGGAACAGTGTTAAAATTGACCACTGTCTGGGAAAATCTTCAGCTCCCGCACCCAACATCTTGCTCCTGGGGGGTTTCAACTTAAGGCACCTAAAATGGAGGAAAAATGCAAATAATATTGTTGCAGTAATAACACCAGGAGGCAGCTCTGATGAAAACTCACACTCACACGAGCTTTTAAATCTCTGCACAAAAATTCAATTTAAACCCGCAAATAATAGGGGCCTACTAGACTGGAGAATACACTAGACCTCATCTTCACTAACAATGATGATCTGATAAGAAATGTCACCATATCAAAAACAATATACTCAGATCACAACATAATTGAGGTTCAGGGCATGTATGCGTGGAGCCCAGACCGACAAATGGGACTAGTCACGAGGGAGCATTTACCAAATTCAACTTCAATAACAAAAACATAAGTGGGACCCAAATAAACCAAGTCCTAACCGATATAAGCTGGGAAAAATATACTAAGCAACACAGACCCAAACTTATGCCTAGAACAGATTAAAATCGGTGGCACTCGATGTATGCACAAGGTTTTTTCCTCTAAGAAAAAGGAGGAGTAGATGTAAAAAAGAAAGAGACAGGCGCCCCTTTACAGGCGACGGAAAAAAATAACAGAGCGGCTAAAGAGGTCAATATATCAGAAATGCGCAGGGAGGGCACTTTGGGCAGAGAAATAGCAAGCATCGAACTTAAACTAAAAGAATCCTTTAGGATTTAGAATCGCGGGAAGAACTAAAAGCCATAAATGAAATCGAAAAAAAAACCCAAAGTATTTCTTCTCCTATGCCAAAACAAAATCGAGAAAAACGTCCAGTATTGGGCCCCTACTTAAACAAGATGGGTCCTACACAGATGACAGCAAGGAAATGAGTGAGCTACTCAAGTCCCCTATGACTCAGTTTTTAGCAAGCCGCTAACCAGACTGAGAGTCGAAGATCAAATGAATTTTTATGAGAGAGCCACAAAATTTGATTAACACAAGCCTAT